AGGCACCTACGGGGTTAGGCGGTGGTTTTAAGGATATGAATTTTGGATTTAGGCACCTAAAGTGGCAGTTAGGCACCTAAATCCCTTTGTGGACCTAGCCTTCAGTTGTTGTCTAGGTTTGTCATTTTAGGCTCTGAATGGGATTGGGTAAGTCACAACACTTTTAGAAAAATATGCTATTAGATGTAGAAGTTTGATTTAGACCTGCCACCCTTTATGAAATCTCAAGTCACACACAAATCAGAATTGCTTGTAAGCTCCTATAACAATGAAAACCCCAGCACTGTTGTCCTTGCTAGAATTAAAAACCACTTATTTTTTCTTTTAGCATTCCTGATAGAAGTGATTGGCAGCAAAAGGAGTGTTGTCCAATTTCTCCAGAGACAACATATAGGTACTTACAATATTTCATATCAAATGCATAGTGGACAAGCAGCTGATTACCGTTTTCGATTATTTCCTGGGGACCCACAGAGCTCTCATCTCAGTTTGCTGTCTGTAGTGGATTCAGTACAGTCACCTACTGGGCATTTGGTATAGTTGTAACACAAGGTTAAGAAAATCACAATGAGGCTAGAGATTCGCTATTTTGGGAAATAATCTCATGGCAGCTTCAGAGCTCTGATTATGTGCATCCACCTCCATCCATGATGTTTTCTTGTGCTGAAAGCTCCTTTGTTAACTACAAATTAGACTGTGATTCTTAAAGAATCCTACAGGACAGAGATTATGGGCCAGATGCGGGCGTTCAGCTAATAGGATGTAGCATAGGGTCAAGCAAATTTAGCATAATACTCACTGTGCACTATTCCTCTCCTGGAGCCACTGAGCCTAGTCCATGCTGGTTGCTTCCGTAAGCCAAAATCAATCATGTATCAGAAATGACTCAGAGGAATAGAAATCCCATATTCTCCATTCATGGAACAAGGTGACAGGACAGTGTACAAGGGAACAGGAAAGTGACTTATTCTCCAGGTTCAGGTAAAGAGGCAGCTCTCTCTGGTACCATTGCCCTCCGGGTACTGCTGTAGACAAAAACCCAGTGTACAAGTCAAGAAAAGCCAGCCACTGATATATTTCCTACAGGGATAAACATCAGAGACTGGAAAAATAGTCATCCTATATTAATAGGCTTTTGAGCTATGCACATGAAATGAACATCCTGGTCATGTCTGGGAATGGTTTCAGCTGGGCCTGGAATCAGCTATTTTTTTGCTTGCTTTCTCAAAAGAGAATCATCAGTATTGCCAACCCCAAGTATTCACAAATCATGATCCAAGCCCCCCCAAAATCATAAGGTGAAAAATATTGCAGTTCTTATTTGTTTTGTGGGTTCTGAGCCTGTGCGGAGTCACGTTATCAAGGTTTTCTCTACCACAACCACAAAGGCTAGAAACTTTTTTATAAAATGAGATGGAGATTCTAACAAAGCCCTAGTTGCCAGAGTCATTGACTTAGTAAATGTCACCAAATGTCACAGGACAACTAAAATCATGAGAGTTAGCAATGTTAATATATGTAGCTATCTTTTGGATTAATTTCAGCCTTTGGAGAGACCTCAGTTCCCTTTCCGTTTCTCTCCAACCCATAATCAGAAAGATCAGAGCTGCAGAATATGAATCTAGTTTGGAGTCTATGAAAATACAAACTAATGGTGAGACTGCTGTACTTGGGCACATCAATCATTTCTATGGCAACAGACTATGATACAACAATAACATATAGAACCAAGCAGGAGAAGCTGGATTGTGTGAGGGAGCCCATTTATACAGTACAAGTATTTTGCTTTTACTACCACAAGCAGCCAATGAAAAGGAATAAAGACAATTATAGGCAAAAATACATGGATTTTCGTTTAAATGATCACAGGTTTTAGTTTACCCTAATAGAAAAATCTTTTAATACAACAGCGAACAAACACCTTGCTATGTTCTTCTCTGGGTATTTGTAGATTCTTATTTCTACTACACAAAAGACTGTATATCTATCTATCTATACATACATACATAATCAAAGTTTATTCCTCGCAGATAGCACAGATGGTGGTAAGCACATGGGAGTACAATATCAGTGTCGCTGGGTCTAGTGCGTGTCGGGACTGCCCCATCATACCATGATATCAATCATTAATACCAAATTGTGGTAGTAGCAGTTTCAAAACTAAATATTATGATGTAATTAATATTATAAACCTATAACTGAGCCCTTAACAGTTCCAATCCTGTACCTTCTACCCATACAGCAATCCTAATGCCTTCGAAGGCAGGCAAGATCATGCCCAGAAAGGATTGATTTATTTTGGATATTTTGTTTTGGGGGGTTTTTGGGCATGGTGAGGAGGAGGAACTTTTCCAGAAACAATTTAAAAATAAAGGATGCTATTGGAAAGGGAAGTCTATGCTACAACCTTCCTTAAATGCTACTTTTCTGTGGTGTTCCAAAGAAATTGAGCCGTCGGTACCTACCCTTCTATCAGGAGACCATACTGAAATACTGTTACAAGTATTTTATACATTTTGCCTTTTGTTTGGTTTTGTTGTTTGTTTTGTGTTTTCACTTTTAAAGTAAATTTAGCATTGATAAGCAGTGGATGACAGCCATGTAGACTGAAGTCCTCTCTTCACAGAGCAGCGTGGGCAGCGGTAATGCAAGCAGACAGGAAGTGGTAATTGCTCTGTAAAGATTCTGCAAACCTGACCCAGAGGAAGAATAATTCGTTCTTATGCCCATTTAAACTGTCTGTCTACTTAGGTGCCAAATAGTACTGACCGTGATTTTTATGATTTGGACACCTCCGAGAAACTGGATGAAACCAACTCACATAGAAGTCACCATACAGTTGTCAGATATACACATGTTTAACTTTTATTGGAAACAAATGTACAGCTAGCAGTGGCAGCAGGTTTGTATAATCTTTGGTGGAGCCCAGAACAGGTCCAAGTCTTCCCCTCCTCCCCACCTGCCTTGTAAGCTGATACATATATTTTTAAATAATGTAAAAATGGACTGGAAACAGCGTCGAACAGTTTCCCTATATTGCACAATATCACGATTGTAAGAAACAAATATTTAACTAAGAATATCAACTTTATTAATACTCTTTTGAATACGGAAACAACCAAGCACTCTTGGATCAATAACCCTCAAAAGCAAATACTTCATAAAATTAAAACAAAATTTTGTTTTTTTGCGATATGCTTCAGGAGGCAGCAAACAGTATTTTCAATGGAATTTAAAAGAATAACAGGGGGAACATTTTTCTGTTGTGTCTTAAGGGTTTGTTTTTATAAAACTAATTTTTAGATAAAGTAAAGTTGTCACCTTACTAAGGGCTTGTCCACACTGGGTTTCACACTAAGATAAACTGTGCCAGCACAAGTTAACTGGGCATGGATTGTCTGTTCTAGGGGCTTGCACAAATGAAGCTATGTTGGTGTAAAATAACCCAATGCAGACAAGGCCTACAAGTCAGACAGTCTAGCACCCACAGCCATAGGTGCCAACTTCTCCTGGTGCCGGTGGGTGTTCGACTCCATCCCTGCCCCCATTCCAACCCTTCCACAAAGTCCCTCACCCCAAACTCTGCCCCTCCATGCCCTATTGGACTCCTTCCCCAAATCGCCGGCCCAGCCCCGCCTCTTCCCCGCTTCCTCCCCTGAGCACGCTGTATTCCCGCTCTTCCCCCCCCCCCTCCCTCCCACAACTTGTTACACCGTGAAACAGCTGTTTCGCACCAGCAAGCACTGGGAGGAGAAGCGGGGACTGGGTGCTCACAGGAAAAGAGGCAGAGGTGAGGTGAGTTAGGGGGGCAGGGAGCTTGGCTGCTGGTGGGTGCAGAGCACCCACCAATTTTTCCCCGTAGGTGCTCCAGCCCCAGAGCACCCATGGAATCAGTGCCTATGCCCACAGCAATGCACCCCTAAGAACCACTTATAAAGAACAAAAGAAAGAAATGCCAACTCCTAAGCAAAGAATGGGGCCAGGGATGAGGGGTTCACGGTGCAGGAGGGGGCTCAGGGCTGGGACAGACGGTTGGGGTGCAGGGGGTGAGGGCTCTGGCTGGGGGTGCAGGCTCTGGGTGGGGCTGTGGATGAGGGGTTTGCGGTGTGGGAGGGGCTCAGAGCTAGGGCAGAAGGTGGGGTGTGGGGTGAGGGAGGTGAGGTGGGGTGGGGGAGAGGGCTGCGGGGTGGGGCTGGGAATTAGGGGCTCATGGTACAGGAGGGAGCTCATGGCTGGGGCAGAGATTTGGGGTCGGGGGCGGTAAGGCCTCTGGCTGGGGGTGCGGGCTCTGGGGTGGGGCTGGGCCGGGGATGAGGAGTTCAAACTTTGGGGTGCAGCAGGCAGGCTGACCCGGGGCTGGGGCCAGAGAGGAGGACCTCCCTCCAGTCCTCTCCCCACTGGCAGCACTGAGCTCCGGGGGAGGGCCCCCTCCCCCTCCCCTCCCCTCCAGCACGACACTCACCTAAGCCCCAGGTTGCTAATCAGGAGGTCTCAGAGTCGCCTGCCGGGGTGGGGCTGCCATGCCGCTGCACCTCCTCCCCTCCTCCCTCTGCAGGCGCAGCAGTCGGAGACACTTGGGGGAGGCGCATGGAGGCAGCAGGTGGGGTTGGGGGACATTCTGGGGGGCGCATGCAGAGGTGACAAGTGGGGCCAGAAGGGAGACCCAGCCCTGAATATTGGTGGAACTGGGCCCCCGGGGCCCTGAATTTGCTGGAGCATGGGCACCACGGGCTCATACAACTCACCATCCCTGACAGCTAGATATGAATATTCTTAATTTTGATACAAAATGGTCTACTGCAAGAGGACCTACATAGTCACACACTGAAGTATGAAGTTTTGCTTTACATTTATATACACAAATACTATTAGACTAGATCTTCAGGGATGGTATTATATCATGTACATTTCTACCACTGTAAAACACTATGTATGTTTACAGTGCTATATAATCATCCAGTGCCAGGCAATGCAATGTAATAGCTGTATATGTTTTCCAGGAAGTCTCTCTCATTTCAGTCTCCATACTTCTGGCCAGGAGGACTCAGGTAATGAAAATGAACATGCGTTAGTCCATACTGCTTTGGATTGTTATCGAGCAGAACCCGTCATCAGTATGGACGCATGTCCCCTATATGACTCTTTAGTGCATCTGGCATGTAAATATCTTGTGACGCCGGCTATAACAGTGCCATGAGAACGCCTATTCTCACTTTCAGGTGACATTGTAAACAAGGTGCGGGCAGCATTATCTCCTGCAAATGTAAACAAATTTGTTTGTTTGAGCAATTTGCTGAACAAGAAGTAGGACTGAATGGACTTGTAGGTTCTAAAGTTTTACATTGTTTTATTCTTGAGTGCAGTTTTTTTGTACATAATTCTACATTTGTAAATTCAACTTTCATGATAAAGAGTACTACAGTACTTGTATTAAGTGAATTGAAAAATACTATTTCTTGTTTTTTTAAGTGCAAATACTTGTAATAAAAATAAATATAAAGTGAGCACTGTACACTTTGTATTTATGTTGTAATTGAAATCAATATATTTGAAAATGTAGAAAATATCCAAAAATATTTAAATAAATGGCATTCTATTATTGTTTAACAGTGCGATTAATCACGATTAATTTTTTTAATCACACGATTAATCACGATTATTTTATTAATCACTTGACAGCCCTATTAGTTACTTACCCAAAGTTATTCATTGTGCCTATCTCTGGCTCCAGTTTAGTTACAAGGTTATATATATAAATGAAATAAAACCAGTTCCACTATAATATTAACAGACAGGCCCGTAAATCACATGAGCCTCTTATAATATCTTCCAGTCTCAGCTGGCCCCTCCAATTAACGTCCCAGTCCCCAGGAACAAGTTGGGAGAACAGATGAATCTTGCAATGTGGTTCTGGTGAATCCAGGAAGGAAACAAATTGTAGAGCCAAGGATCCTCTATTGAGAGCATCTTTCCACCAGCCCCTTCCAGTTATACCAAGGGTTGGCTGAGCTTGAGAGCCTCAGATGATCTCAGCTGTTGTGATAATGCGAAAGGAAGAAAGATGATCTCTCAGATATTACTAACATGGGAGCTGATATGTAAATGTGATAATGTGTTGCTTGTATGCTAATAACTATGCTAATCCCCATATTAAAAATCTGAGCATGCCCACTGTGAACTAGCTCTTTGCTGCCTTGCACCTTGCATACCTGTACAAAGTGGGGGTAAAACTCATTCACATAAGTGGTAATATTTTACACCCACTTTGTACACATATAAACAACTACACAAGGTTGCAAGGCAGGGGAGAGTCAGGCCCCTTGTTCAGAATGGGCATGTTCAGAAGTTTAACACAGGGATTAGCACAACTACTCCCTTCCAAGCATTACAACATCACTTTTACATAGCTACTCCCATATTGGTAACAAGGTCATAGGAAATGGTGAATCATGTTTCCGGGAACCTGAGCAGACTGTCTGAACAAGGTGCTTATGCAATTAATAGAAGTACTGTATCTGCCACCTATTCGGTAAAGAAACTTTTCTAACTTATTTAGAGAGCAAAACTAACTTTAACTGGCCCACTCTTGCTTGGTACTGGTATTTTCAAGCCAGGCATTGTGGTTTTTTATTTTCTAGAAAACTTGTTTTAGACAGAAAGCTAACTTTAGTAGAAACAATGGTGTTTTGTCAATTAAGAAACAAAAAAATTATAACTAATCAATGGCAGTCTTTGCAGAGTTTTCCTAACAAAAAAACTGTCCATATATGAGATGCTGGGAAAAGGCCCTTGGATAGACAAATTACCCCCAAAAGAATGGGGTTTGATCTAGAAAAGAAGACTAGCAACCTCATACTGTAGCACAATAAAATAAAATTTCTTGAAGATACTGTTTCAATGGTATCTAATATCAGTCAGTTTAAAAAATAGAGAGATTGAATGGGCATAAATGTTGGAGAAATCATGGTGAAAGAAGAGACTTTATGCATACCTGGTGGACATGTCCAGACATGTCTTGGGATGCAATCTGTAACCAAATATCACAAATCATTAGATATTTATTACCAGATGAGCCTTTAGGAATCCTCCGGGGCCTTCCTAGTAGAAATGGTCACACAAAAGGCAATGAAGAATTAATCTCGCTTCTGCTAGGAGCTGCTTGGCTATTGGTAGCCTCCCACTGGAAAAAAGAAAAATAGCCCAACCACAGAGGAATAGTTCAAAAAATATGGGCAGTTGTGGTTATGGAAAAATTACCACATTAATTACATATCCAGAAAAATAGACAGAGGACAGATAAATACTTAGAGCCCTGCAAATCTGCGGATATCCGCTTTATAGCCATGGACCATGTTTGTAGATTGCGGGTCAGATGCGAATACAACCGCAGGGTTGAATAGATGCTTAGATATTTGGTTACCTTTATTAACTAGTCAGACAAAGTACATTCACCTGCAAAAAACCCAGTGTACCTGTCCATTTTTTTTTTTAACATTTGATAGATATGGCTGGCTGTTAAATATGTGTATATAGATATTTCACTCAATTTAATACAATCACTAGGCATGACAAAGGGGTTGTAATGATGCTCTCTCTGTAACATAACACTGTTAAATAGAAAGATCTGATGACTATATTCTTCTTTAAACAAAAGCTAATTGTTGTAATGATTGTTTTGGTTCTGATAGTTACATGGCAAGGATTTGTAAACTTATTAAAACTTCCTAAATAAATACATAGAAAAAAAGTAGCAGTAGGAGTTGTTCTGTGCCTTTTCTCCAGCCAAAGTGACTCCGGTGTGGTTTGCTGAACATTACATGAAGTGTCTCTAAAAGTTTCATCACTAGGACTTTAACTATTCCCACTAGTGGCTTGCAGCTGAAAACAAACTCTATTATGTATGCATAATACAACTGAAGATACAAGTCTGCTTTGAGACATAGCAAAAACAACTTAGTGATTAATGTGAATGTTGTGTTCCTGGTGACGAGCTAAGAATTTTCTCCACTCCAAATTAGTTACAGGCCAAATCCTGTCCTCTAGCAAGGCTCCCACTAGAGGCAAAGAGCATTTTGGCAGACCAGGAATTGGGTAAAGACTGCAGGATCTCGACATATGAAGACTACAGCTTTACTAAAACACATCCATAGAGTTACAGTGTATTCTGCATATGAAAGGGTTTACACTGCATTACTAAGTACCTTGAGGTGAATAAAAATTCCAACAAATTGTAATGTTTACAAAGGCATCATATGTTGAAAGAATAAAAAAATCAGAGAGGAAGGTGGACATGTGTAAAGATTTCATTGCTTGGAACTAGTTATTTCAAAGATGCTGCTTGTGGCACTTTATGGCTATTTACTAGATTACTATAAGAGGGCCAAGTTCTCTACTTCATTATTCTACTGAAGTCAGTGGAGTTAGAAAATTTGCCCCAAAGTTTTTACTTTGCATGTGTGACCTGGTGTGTCTCGGGCCGCCTGCCCTGCAAATGCCAAGGGCAGGACAGGCTGCAAAAGGGATAGCAGATACTCCCAACACTGATGGGTAACACTGAAGTTAATCTCCCCAACCAGTCACAAACTACTTCTGATCCATCAAGAAGACAAAAAAAAAAAAGAAAGAAATCACATAGCCCCTTCCCGGCTCCCAGTCAGCACCTAGGTCCAGTACAGTGAGAAGTTATGTAAAAAACTCTGCTCACATATACAAAATGTTCTTCTGACCCCAAAGGGCCAGCCACGTTACGTTACCAGGTCAGTATAGGTTTGGATCTTACCAAAATACCACGCTGCCAGCCAATCCTTTAGTGCCTAAAACTAAAGGTTTATGATAAAGAAAAAAGAATGAACAAGAAGAGAGATGTTAAATGGTAAAGCGGTCACATACATACAAAGACTTCAAAGTCCATATATCAGGCTCTTCGCAGTATTGGTGAGTTTGCTGGCTTGAAAGTCCCTCTGGAACACATCCACAGCTTGGATGGGTCATTTAGTCCTTTGTTCAGAAGGAATTTTTAGAAGTTACTCCAGATCTAAAAAGCAGGATTGAAGACAAGAAGCAGGACTGAAGACAAAATGGAGATGATGCAGCTGCCTTTTATAGTCCTTTTGTTATGTGTCTGGTACTTCCTTTGTTTCCAACACAAACTCATAGCACATGGCATTGGAAGGCCTTAGAGTTCTCTCCATAGGCATGCCCCTGCGTGCCTTGCTGAGTCAGAAGATGTATTACCGGTCCTTTCAATGGGTTCATTGTAGAGTTGATGTCCCTTGATGGGCCATCAAGCAGGCCTACTGCTGATGCCAACCTGTCTGGAGGTGTCAACCAGAAACACAGCACAAGTTTGGAAATACAGATCTACCATACATATTGATAACTCACAATACGAAGGTGATACAAACATATGAACAAGATCATCATATTTGGCAAATTATGACATTTTTGCAGATACCTCACATGGCATATCTGGCACAATTCATTGCAATTTTATAATAATGTATCAACAATATCATAAAGTGTCTCCCATGTTCCATACAGCATCACAGCATGTTTATTCTCAAGTGAATGAAAAGAAAAAAGACTCAACATCTCCTCTCCTCCCACCAAAAATCAAACCAAACACAAATAAAAAGCAATTGTGATCTGCACCTCTGAGGTGTGACACATTTCCTCTAGAATTACAAAATAGTCCTATATTTTCATTACAAGATACATTGATATGTGAAGCTAACACACCTAATGACAGAGGAACGGCTGCCAACAAGCAGGTGTGAGCTAGCTTTCCTAAGACCAGGCCCTTATCCAACTGGGTGGAGACAAAGAAAAGGAAAGATCTTTTCACTCAGTTATATCATTGTAGGGTGAGTCAAGGGAGTCACACTCCTACTTTGTGCATTGAACTCATGGAGTGGGTAGGTACAGTCATGCGCCCACTAACTTCAGCTCCAATCTTTCAGGCTGCTAGCTGTCCCCTTCCCCTTCATTTCCCCATAGGGTGACCAGATGTCCTGATTTTATAGGGACAATCCCAATTTTTGGGTCTTTTTCTTATATAGGCTCCTATTACCCCCAAACCTTGTCCTGATTTTTCACATTTGCTGTCTGGTCACCCTAT